TTGTAAATTAATTAAAGCGTTGTTGTCACTTAACTCACTAGGAGAATCGCACTATATTATTAATTCTCCTTCTCCTCATTAATTAATTATTAAGACTCTTCTCTTTTGTATGATATCGAAGGACTGACAAGCTAATGGGGTTCGCTTGATGGAAGCTGTTAAATTATTTTGGCTTTGGACATTCCGAAATCCATCGACTGTTAATTAAATTCGGATTTACACTTTACTGCTTTCTACCTGTAGAGGATGGTTATTAATATATATTTTTTTAAATTAAACCTCCATATTCAGACAGGTTTTAACATATTGTTTAAAACTTTATTAAGCAATTTAAACTATTTATGTAACAGAGGTTACGCAAACTTCAATGGAGTAATTTATAGGTAGGTGTATATACAAATGAAAATCATGTTTAAAAATGCAGTAGTCCTCGATCTATTAAAAAGTTAATCCACCGAATCGACTACGCCAGAAAAGCACTAAAAGTACACATTGAAAACCCAATCACCACCGCTGTACATTTACGATAGCTGCGATAAAGTATTTAATGTTGCCATAAAAAAATATTGCGAGTAAAAACGAGGCAACACCGATTGGTTGTATAAACTGTCATGGTTAAGGATGCAATAAACGTTCTAATAAAATCGGAAGCTCGAGTTTCCAATTGGCTGACTTATGAAAAGGGGTATCAATATAGTTTTCACAAGAAAAAATATGAAAAACATTATTATAATATAAATTTTTGTGTTTAAAAGAAAATATGATATAAAAAATAAAATGCTTACACTTTTCTAAAAAATACCCCCATTTAAATAAAACTTTTTACGGTTGAAAATGGATATATATGAGCTAATTTATTTACAATTAATTTCTACTAGCTGTGGTCATTGGGGGTTCACCCATCACCACGGCATGTAATGTATTCCAAAACTTTGTTACCGTACTGTAAACTTTTTTACCCTGACGACAGACACTACTTAAAACAGTACTAAAAAAATAAAATCTTATGTATACTCTTTTATCTTATAATTAAATAGATCCTTCAGTCAGTTAGTAAATCTAAAAGAATTCGATTACATCTGGTAACCCACAAATGTCAATAGCAGGCTTAGTAGAAGTCAAAACCATTACACAGATAAAAAATAGGCGGTACAATATTGAATGGTTGCGTAACCGGTTGTACTATTTTCGGGCGATCAATGGCTGGCGACACTAGCGCCATCTGGATAAGGGAGGGCGTGAACTGTTCTATTTCCGAATGCATCATTATAGTCTGTATCAAAACTTCCTAAAAAGGTTTCATATTTATAGCTGTTACGTTTATAATAGATATACCGCATACTAAGCAAAGTTTTGTAATAATTAGGTATAAAAGAAATAGTATCATTTAAGTTAAATACTGTCTGTAGATTACGCAATTAAAATAAAACAGCTTGAACCTTTAAAACGGGGGTCCTCGTGCTCACAGCTGTTGCAAAGCATCAAAAGGTAGTTAAAATAATTTTCAAATAAGTTTAACTAATGTATATCGCATTTTTAACTGTTAAAGTGTTTTATTTTAATAATTTAAGTTATTTACAACAGTCGTGAATTTTAGCTAACTCAAGAGTCATCCTATTAAAAGTTTGAATAATTCACTTCGGTGAATCATCAAATTACTCCGACACCTTAAAAGCCCTATAAAGTGTCAAGTAACTTCTCTCAGTTATCGCAAGTGGGTTTTTGTTAAGGACGAAAACTGGACGTCCTATTTAAAATCAAGACAAAGATTTAGGCTTGTGACTGAAAATAGGGAGTTGCAAAAGACGTTTTTTGGCCATATGATGTGTTGCGACGAAATTTATTTTTTTTGATAATCTAATACAATTGTTACAGCGGACGCAACGAAAGCCTTTAAAGAATTTTAGTTTTTTTTTTCAAATTTCCCTGTGTTTCTTCGATCCTATTGATCACAGCCTGATGTTTTATAGCCTTAAGCCTATCTCGATAAATATTATCTATAGTAACACAAAAGTTATATTCAATTCGAACCTGTAGTTGCTGTGATAAGCGCGTACAACAAACATTGTTATTTATTATTTACATACTAATTGTTATTTATTGCAATTTTAAGGCATTAAAGCTAACATTTAATATGTAAGTACTTATACGACAGAATTATTTTGTTAATATATAGGTAATTATTTAATCTTTTTTTAAATGTATCTTTTGTTTTGTAACCGAGGTAAACTTATAATGTAGCATCAAACAGTCTACAAGGAGCCTAACTTTATCGAGGTCACTAGCCTCCGCCATCTTGTTTTTAAGGGGCAATTCACTTCCTCTCAAAACAGCACAAACCGAGAATAAGGCTAGGAATCCTTTTATTAAAGGCCGAGTGAGTTTTGCCACTTTCGAGTTGTTGAAGAAAAAACATCTTTGGAACTCGAGCGGCGGATTGTTATTTTGTTTCTATAAGTGTTGCCAAGTTTAAAGATTTCCGACTTAATTGCCACTCTTTCATTTCTATTTTTATTGCTGCCAATTTATGCTTTTAGCGTGATTGTGGGCTATAACTAACAATACAATGTTGAAATGATTTAATTTTTTAAATGAACTTCCGGATAAAACAATTTGTGAAGCAATAGATATAGACATAAATATTTTTAACTAAGACCATTATTGTACCTTAAAGTTAGAATATTCTAGTTATATATATACCCAACTATTATTGGGAGAAGAGGATATAAATTTATAACAATGTTATCCAAATAATGTTATAAATTACAAACTTTTAAAAAAAACAAATAATGGTTAACCCGGGATACAAACCTATAAACAAGTACTTACCTTAAATATTATAACATATTTCTACAGGTATTTCTACATGTTAGGACTTCGGCCTTGAAAGTATCGATCGTAGAATTTGGGGCTACGCTCGTGTAGCGCGTAGCACCCTCGTAGCGGTTACAAATCATTAATCTCTAATCAAAGCGGCCATTTTATTTTATTAGCGTTAGTCATTTGTTTGTTTTTAACGCTGTCGCTTTTTTATACCGTCAACTATTTATTTTTTATGATGAAATTTTAAAGCCGAATCTGGAACACGAATTTACGTTTTGCTTACGGTAATACTCTTATAATGCCAAAATTTGTAGTCTGTGCGTCTAAGGTTTATTTACGGCCATTATAAATACTGTGAGAATCGAATAATAAGCCAGTAATATTACATTTGTTTCTAGCACATAATAGTACTTTAAAAATTGGGTTACCAATAACCTGTAATTATTTTTTTGTACATATTTTTATCCATAAGTGCTTAAACAAAAACATCTGAACACAATTATGTTAACAATTATTAAGATTTTAATTTATAATTGAGTTTGTTTAATATACTTTACAAGTAAAAGTATAATTGTATATTGTTAACAATATGATTAACGTGTAATGTACCTATATATTTAAATAAACCCTAATGTTGATATAAGCAATAAAAGTTCTGATAGTCACGATATTTGAAAAAATATAATATAAGAGTTTTCGTTTAAAAAATACAACCAGAAAAATGATTAGCCAGCGAAAGCAACCGAATATTTCCACAACAGCGGTTTTGTGAAAGAACAGCCTGGCTAATATCACATACAAAACAATGAAAGCTATTTGCGTTTCGCAGCACAATACGAACGCCGAAATACTGTCCTTATGCAGGTATTATGCCGGGAGTTTTAATTGATTTTGTAGGCGAAACAAATAGATTTTTACCTCAATATTATTAATAAAAGTAAGGAGGTTTCTCTAAAATTTGTATGAAGGTTAAGTGTATGATGAAATATCTACTGTAACATCGGTTCGATTGAGAATGTTTCCCCTTCGGCTACGCATTGTTATTTCTGAATGCTTCTTCAGTGGAATGTTTTATATTAACCTTCTCCATAGCTCAATAGGACATAAGGAATCGATTATCGTTTAGGTCGAGCAGAGCACCAAAGTCCAGTCGATTGTGTTGCCTGTCAGTTAAAATCGATTAGTGAAACCTACAGAAATATCATCGCTCAAAGAAATTGTTTATGTTGAATGTAAAAGAGAATTTTTAATAGTTTTTGCTTCAGTTCTACTTTGTATAGTCTACTTTCACTTAAACGTTTAATTATGTTACCTTTATCTCTCTCTCATATGCAATGAATATGTTACTTCGTACTATATCCACAATCGTAATCCTTCACTAGTTTGCCGCCTACGAGGCAATAGCAATAAAAGCTATGATATCACTCGCTCTCGTTATCAATTCAAGCCAATTGCAGCTGGATGCCTGTGATAGTGGTTAAGCATTTCTACCTATCAGAATTATAGCATCGAATTACTCTTATTGATTAATTATTTTATAAATACAACACTTTAATCACAGGGGACAAAAGTTAAAGTTACCTAATCCTTTGCGAGTTTTAAACCGTTAAGTGTTCTATTTAAATGTGTATTTGTAAATTAACTACACTTCATACTATTCCTAAAAACTACTTTCTTCAGCTTGTTAAATTATACAATAAATATTATGAAGTTGTTTTTCAGTACATGTATATAATTTTAATAAATTAAATTAAACATTTTTGTGCACTTATAGGCCATATAAGCCACATCGATGATTGATGACGTCAAAAGTGTGGCATGTATTGGCACATCATCGACAAATGCGATAATAGTCATTGAGGAATCGGGTTTCATTTATGCTCCAACCTACACTTCATTGATCGATTTTTATTTTTATACAATAAGTCTGTACCCAAGCGAAACAATTTATTATTTCCCCGGGATTCGAACACAAAACGTCAAGTGCTTAATGCAGAGCTAGGCAATACGTTTAGCCATTGAGCTACAGTGGCCATTACATACCATTCAATTGAATCGACTGAATAAAACTTGATAACATGGACGAGATCTGAACCGTTACCCACAGCGATCTGTGTTGTTTTTAGCTAATTGAGCTACAGCTAATTGATTATATAATACGATATATTTCTTTACAGAAACAAGCAATGCTTGTACGCCAACTGGAGGAAGAACTTCGACTGCGCCTTCGGCAACCTGCGCCCGAGTTGCAACAGCAGTTGGAAGCATTGTTCTCCGAGAACGAACATCTGCAGAGGGAGATAGCGATATTGAGGGATACTATAAAGGTAAATGATCACACATTTCCCGTATCTTGTTATAACAATAGCTGGTATTCAATAAAAACTTTTAATGGTTACGCGAAACATATTAAAATAAGATAATATATATTTCGCGTTTGAAACCGTTCAAAGTGTTTATTTATAAATATGTACTTCTTACATAAGCTACAACGATACTTATAAAACCAATTGTTTTTTTTTTAATACATGCATCTCTGGAATCGAACTCACGATTCATATTAATAATTAGCACAAGTTGCTTCCATTTATTTATTAAGTGCTTGCTTACTTTCTAAATATTAATACAGAATCATAATTTATACAAATGGGGGAAAATATAATATATAAATGATAATATCGGGTTGTGGGTGCGATTCTCATCGGGTCCGATCAAACCGGGTTTGATAATCAATTTATACTTTTTTGCAACATTAGGCTTCAGTACAATATTATTCTTTAACTAAGGTTCAATTTTAGTCAGCCAAACAACTATATAATAAGAACATGTACTAATAAAGGAACAATCAACAGGAACTGGAACTACGAATCGAAACTCAAAAACAGACATTACAAGCTCGAGATGAAAGCATTAAGAAATTACTGGAAATGCTACAGAACAAGGGAATGGGTGAGTTTGATATTGTCTCCTGGCTTTGTACAATTAGATTGTACGAACCAAATAATGCAGTTGAGTACTACAATATGGTATAATTATTGTATTTAACATAATTTTATAATTATATTTATGCCTAAATATGTCGGAGAAATATTTTTTTAACATAAAATTTTTTTTACTATAAAAATATATATATATATATAGTTTGTATTTGGGTGTACCCAACATAATTATTTTATTTAATTACGTTGGGTTCATTGAATATATATCTGTCCTTTTCAGACAGGAAAAATGTTTTTCAGCTATTTTATAAAATATTAATTTAAATATTAGCAAAAAAATAAGACAATTATATAATATATCTGGGGTATACAGACTTAAGATGAACTCTTTAATGTCTATAATAAAGCTGAATAATGTTTCAGCGTTCGCTAAAATGTTAACTAATAATTATTTCAAAATATATGTAAGTAAAAAGCTTTCAGTAGTTTTTATTTTAATATTATAATACAACGCAGCACGCCGTAGTTTATTAAAACGTGTATGATTTATATGATGCCTAATTCTCTGCATTTTTAAATTTATAGGTACCCATCTAGTGGAAATTGGTACTATGAGATTTATAAGGTATTTCCCACAATTGGTTTTCCAGGTAAGGAGGAAGAAAGGCAAATGTTCCAACAGATGCAGGCGATGGCTCAGAAGCAGGTAATTGCTCTTGACCGAATGTACCGCATGCGTTAGACGAATGCTCCCGGTGGGAGAAGTTCCCCCCTCGGAAGTTCCCCCACCGGCCCGTCTCTGACCAGTAGACTCCTGCACACGTCTTGTTGTATGCACTTCACAGCTTTCTCATTTACGTGTACTGACCGTCACATGGGCGTTTTATTTTGTGATACCTTTATCAAATCACTGTTTCTCTTAGCGCTCTCGATAGTACCATTTCATTCTCCGCCGACTATCGCGCGCCCCCCTCTACTGGCTTCACTCTACGACCGCTTCCTCTCCCAGCTTGACGTCCCCCGGCCGACTCGTGCGCGGCACTGCATGCTTAGATCATTACGACCCCGTCACACCCTAGCGGAGACCGTCTCGATTTTAATTGGTTGTGTTGTTTAAAATTCGAACTCCGGCTGGGGCCGCGTCGTCGGCCGGGCGTCGCCCCAGCTGGGGTGGTGCGAGCGGACGTTAGGCGAGCGGGGCGGCTTCGAGTTGACCGGGTCGCGTGTGGCAGGAGCTCAAGGCGACGGCGGACACGCTGAGGGCACTGCAGGGACAGCTGGAGCGCGCGCTGGCGGCCGCCGGGCTGCCGGGCGGCTCCGCGGGCGCCACGCTCACCGCCGTGCTGGAAACCAAGGAGGCGCGCATCGCCACGCTGGAACGTCAGCTGGCGCTGCTCGAGAGCGAGCTCGCCGCTTTCGCCTCGCCCCTGCCCTCCCTAGCGCCCTCGCACGCCTCGCTATACGATAAGGCCGAACCTCCCTTCAAGCGACAAGTAAGTTTTCTTCTGAACGACGTTCGCGTCACCACGGACGGGCGGCCGCTCCGGTCGCCGCTCGCGCGCTACAAATACGCCACGACCCTGTGACCGCGGATCTGTTATGTACTCTTAAGAAACTATATTTTGTTAAGGTGATAATGTATTGTATTGGATCGTGTGAGATAACGTTATCGGACTGAACTGTCGAGGTCGTTAGCTATTCGTACTCTGAATTTCAAGTGTTATATCGCTTTCGGTGTGTTCATCGTCCAGTACAGCTTGGTCCCGCGCCAGACCCCCATCACTAGTCTAGTTCACGCGACCTCTTCATGTAGCCGTCATGTCATCGACTCTTCACAGTATCGGTAGATAAACGTATCACAACGTAGGCGCCCGTTCATTGAAGACGTTACTCTGACTATCTCTTGGACGCTGGAAAACTTTCTCTCCTTAGCTTTGATATTAACGCTAGTGTTAGTTGATGCGGAAAGTTTTCCAGACAATGGTGAAACTATTGGCTCGAATGTATAAATTGCATGTAGTTTAAGGTTGAAATCACACGGCATCGGTAGAGCCGACATTTCTTATCTGACGACGCTTGAGCTTGAATATCGATACTTGAATCCGATTCCATGCTGATGAGTAGCATATTTTAACATCAACATCATTATCGCCATCACTATTCGCCTATGTAGATAGATTTTTGACATTTCTTTATGTAATCGATGTTTGGAATTATAATAATCGGGGTGGTGTGAGCAGCTGGATGAGTTTCGTCTGGAGATTCAGAGGCGAGATCAGGAGATATTGGCGATGGCGGCAAAGATGAAGGCTTTGGAGGAGCAGCATCAGGACTACCAGAGGCATATAGCCGTTCTTAAAGAGTCGCTCTGCGCTAAGGAGGAACATTACAGCATGCTTCAGACGGACGTATGTATCACATTCTAGAATCGCTTTACAGAAATAAAAAAAGGTATTTTAATTAGATTGGATGAAAGAAAATTAGCAAATATTATTTTCTATAATATGTTTCAATACTTACACTATGACCATGTCCTACTCTTTACTTCGTATTGTGGAAAAGAGACAACATTATTTTATTTAGGGTAACATTCAACCTTATGTTGTGCATCATACTTATTTAAAAAATATTAAATTCAATTCGCAGGTGGAAGAACTAAAGGCTCGTTTAGAGGAGAAGAGCAGACAAGTAGAAAAGAAGACAGCATCAGCTCTGGCAGCTGCGCATGAGCTGGCTGAGCTACGAGATCACTCCGAAATTAAGGATAGAAAGATTAACGTGCTGCAGAGAAAGGTATAGTGTAACTGTTGTAGATTGCGCTGGCAAAATTAGTATTTATTTATACAATGTTGGAGAGGTTAATCATATAAGACAAAAAAGTATTACAGTTTTTGATATGTATCGTTTTATTGATACTAAATGTAAACAAAAATTTAAATTTTGGTATAATCATGATTAATCTTATTGATGGTCGTAAAATTTAATTAATGCTATTGAGCTAAAATTGGTAAATTTATATTAAATTCGTAAGCTTTATATCAATTTATTGTGATATTATGTTATAGCTGGTATTTACGTAATGTTTAACTTTAAAATAATTATTGTATTTTTTTTGTATTTTATTTTTTTATTTTATAGTGCTATCCAGTGTTGAAGATTTTAGTTTCGCTACGTTATTATTATTTGTGAGTTTTTGTTTTGTTTGAAACGAGGTATGTATTTTTATAAATATTATTTATTTCGTGAGTATAGAGAAATTATTATCGATGTAAGACTTTTGTTCTAATAAATAATTCATTTGTAGATTGAGAATCTCGAGGACTTACTTAAAGAGAAGGACAACCAAGTGGATATGGCCCGAGCTAGATTAAACGCAATGCAAGCCCACCATTGCTCTTCAGAAGGAGCTCTATCTTCTCTAGAAGAAGTGATAGGAGATAAAGAAAAGCAGATCCAACAGCTAAGAGAACAAAGAGATAGAGCAGAGCATGAAAAGAACGAAGAAAGAGAGCTCCACGAGAGGGAAATAGCCGATTACAAGATGAAGTTACACGCACTAGAGAGTGAGGTTGAGAAACTTGGTGCGCGACTCGAAAGGGCACAAGCGGAGAAGGATAGACTTGAAGCTAAACTCGAAAGCTCACAATCCGAACTGGGTAAATCTAAAGCTGAGTTGGATAAGGCAGCAAGTGAGGTGGGTAGATCTGGTGCTGACTGGGAAGCGGCGAAGCAGCGCCTCGCTCGCTTAGAATTAGAGAACGAAAGACTCAAACACGAACTGGAAAGGTCACAGACCACCTTCGGCAGGAGCACGTTGACCACATCGCAAGAGCTTGATAGAGTGCAGGAGAAGGCAGATAAGTCGGCTGCGGAATTGAGAAGAACTCAAGCTGAGTTGAGAGTGACCCAGGCAGATGCAGAACGGTCCAGGGTTGAGGCTAGTGCCCTGCAGGAGAAGTTGGAAAAATCACAAGGGGAGGTGTATCGTCTTAAAGCTAAACTCGAAAATGCACAAACAGAGCAGGATAGTCTGAAGGAGGAATATGATCGGTAAGTAACTTTTCTACTACCAATTAATATTAAACTATGTGTCGTGATTACGTGCTTTGAAAGCATCGTCGAAAAATTCATGATTTAAAGTTTCTTCAATAGTAGTTCATAAATCTATATAATTTCTAATAAGAAGTAATACATAGCGCAATAGTTGCAACGGGCCATTTTTATATCTATACTAATATTACAAATATACAAAGCTGAAGAGTTTGTCTGTTTGTTTGACCATTAATCGAGACACCCTTTAGGCTATAGAACATCACGCTGCGACCAATAGTATAAAACAAGGGGAACCCTGTTGTCACCTTCTCTCCCCGGGGGGCACTGAAAACCGGCGCTTCTCCTCTACTCTGGGTGGTGAAGCACATGCCGAGTGCTTTTCCCCATGTCACAAGCGCTCGTCCAAGTTTCTATTTTTCTATTTTTTGTTTGTTTTTCTTCTTTCACGTTTTTTTTATAAATGTTAGTTATTTAAGCGTATATTTAAGTTATTTATTCTGTCTTGTGAAATAAATGGTTTGAGTTTGAGTTTGGAAAGGCAAAAAAAACACTTTGATGGCTTCTGTTATGTGCGCTGCGAAAATGGTTCAAGAAATCAAAATTTTAATGAAATAATGATTCCTCAGAACACGATCTAAAAACATGTCCGATCATTATTACCAATTATTAGACAGCGTTATATCAATATAATAATATTAATCTTGTAAATAACAAAACAACATTTAACGGATCAGCTAGTAATATTTTTTATTTATTTATTTATTGAACAAAAATATATGAAGCCCTGACAGGGATGCCCCCAATGCAGAAGGACCCAAAAAAGAAGGACATCCAAGAACAAATATAACTTCAAAGACATTAAAGCCTACTAGATCTACGATATAAAAGGAGCCCATTTCTTAAACTTGTACTTACAGTATCAAAAGTTCCTTTGAGATAACTTTAAAGCAATTTGTTCGCTCTGAGATTTGAAAGACTTTCAAAATTTATCAATTCCTTTTGCCTCACAGATTAAATTATATAATACCTTTATTTAATCTGAAACATTTTCTTTTCTTTATGAAGGCCTTTAAGTGCAGCTTTTTTTCGTTTCAATCTATTAATATCCCTGTCGAAAGCAGTTATCTCACAGGGTAAAGGACTTGATAACTTAGACCCACCATAATGCTCCAGTGCGAGTTCGTGGACTTTTAAAAATTAGAATTGACTTAGTTTTCTTTTCATAGCACTGGTCGTGTCTTGGTTAAATCATTTATCCAGAAAGGCTTTAGGCTATAAAATATCACGATACAACCAATAGAAGTAAAGACACAGTGAGAAATGTGAAAGAGAATGGAAAGATTATTCATCCTTAATAATTTTTCCAATTTATAAAGAATGAATAATTTGTAATTAATATTTTTTCCAAAACAACCTAAAAAAATGTCCACAACAGTAAATTTCTATCTTTAAATGTTAACTTTAAAAAACTAATAGCTATAATTTATAAAAAACGAAACGACATTTTGATGCCAAAAATAACTATTGTACGCGGGCTAAGTCGTTGACACAGCTATATATGACGCTGGTAGAGGCGGAGTGGTCTGATAACAAAAAAACAGGATTTTCAATAAGAAGGGAAAAAATGCTCAATTAACTTAGGCGAAAATGAATTTGTGTTATTATTTGTGTAAATAGTATGTTAACAATTTTCAGTCACTGCGCTCTTGTAGTTTTAAACTATACATTTTGGAATCATAAAAAAGCAGTTAGGCTTCTCCACCCCTCGAGCGGTCTCATATATACATAATACAATTTACAGAAACATTGCTACATTCTACAAATTCCGTTATCATCGCGATTAAAATAATGCTAGCGTAGAAATTCTGTGGAAATTTTCAGTGGGTCGGCTGAAATGTGAATTTCAATATCGAGCCTCTTCGAACCGTTAAAGTTTTCGTATAATTTATTGCGAAAACTTTGTATTGCTTCTAATAACAATTTGATAAAGTGACTGTCTTCATTTGTACTAGTTTCATAGGAAATTCGCATAAAATTACCAATTTAGATTATTAGGGACGATCTAGTAAAAATATTGTAATATTTAGTTTAAGTTTATTTCTTGGTATAATTTCAAATTATAAAGATCTAACGAAAATTAAGAACATTAGGTACTCTTTCTTTAGGTTTATGTATCACGGTGTCAAGTGTGACTCAAATTTGTATTTATTATCTGTATTCAATTTTAAATTTACTCCTATTTAGAGACATCAAATTTATATAGATTTACATGATAAAAAAATCACAGATTGAGAAAACCCGACGACGAGGGCGAAAATCGAATAGGCGGCAAATAGTGTGCCGTTTGTGAAATATGTAAATTGTTTTTGCATAATAAAGATATATAAGAACAGTGTTCACTTGACGGAAGGTGAAATAGCTCAGCCATATAACAACTCAACATGAAGCGCTGTCGTCCTATTTTGGCTACAATTATCTAAAATATTAAAAAATATCACCGACAACACACGCAGGATTCGAATGCGCGACAAACAGTTTGCTAAATTACTTGACATACATAACACATTTTGTGTGTTATTAATTAAAAACTTTTAACGTATAAATCTCGTTATCTCGTCAAGAACGTAGGTTAGAAATCAACTAACTACATGTTCCACGTTTTAAACCGTTAAAATGTATTATTGATTGTGTACTTTTGGGTAAAATGGTCTAACGGTGTCCCCAATAAATAATGTGTACCATTCGCGTAAACTACAAACATACTTAACAATTGTTTATTTCTTCAGCGTACAGTCGTCGGTCAGTCGACTCCATTCAGAAAGGGACAAGGCAATAGCTGAACTGGACAAAGCCAGAGAGGAGCTAGAAAGGACACAAGCCACCCTGGGCAAGGCTCAGCTGCAACAAGACAAGTTACAGGCCTCTCTGGACGCTGCTCACTCAGAGATCGATAAGCTGCAAGAGAAATTGGACAAGTCTGCTGTTGAAGTTCGGAAGGTAAGAAGTTTCTATAGAAAACATTATCTTACACAATAACCATAACCATATCAAAGTCATAGTCGCCACTTTTATGTATATAACGTATATATAAAAATTGATTTTTGTAATTTCATCTTCTATGATTTTAAGCTGCAAGACATAAGACATTTAACCTTCATACGCAAGTTTTAAAATTGAAATTACATTGCGCGAGTGGTGCATGTATCAAGAGATCATCGATGACGTGCAGGACATGGTAACTCAATTGTTTAGAGCAACAGCACGGAACGCTGTGGATATCGGTTCAAGTCCTGCCCCTGTCGTATTTTTTTCAATTCAAATCATTTGTTTAATTAAGATTGTGAAAAATATTAAAGTTATCAATTAATATGATGCCCCAAATAACTATTGCACGCGGATGAAGTCGCGGGCATAAATTGATTAGAACACTGTTGGACACGGTGGGAATCGAACCCCCAATGATCATTAGCCATACATTGCTACCACTACACCAACGAGCACGTCAGTGTTTTCTGTTATTGTGTTGTATCTATGTAGTGGCTTTTATTACTTCACTTCTAAATATGATATAAACATGAAGATTAATGCAATTAATATCTTGTTATAGTTACAAGTCGATCGCGAAAAGTCCGCCTACGACTTCGAGTCACTGCAGTCGCAACTTGACAAGGCCCTGGGCCAAGCAGCTCGTCTGCAGAAGGAGAGAGACACAGCTCAGCTAGACGCAGATAGATTCCGGGATAAGCACGAGAAGTCACAAGTAAGTTGGCATAAAATACGAGACGTAAGTTAGCAGATATTTTTAGGCTAAGCTTACATTTTAAAACTAGCTTTACGTTTATTAAGTGTCGAAAGATAAGTTTTTTTTTATATTTATTATTTATTAACGTCTATGAAACTATTTACTAAGGTAAGAAGTATATATAACTAAATTAAAAGCACGTCTGGTTTGCGCGAATAGTACACATAAGTACTTCTAGTCACTGACATTAATTTACTTTTCCTTTGGAACCTCAACTGTTTAAAACGCGAAATATATTCGTTAACTAATAAACATATCATTTTAAATGCGGCTCGTCTTTTCGGGTGCTTTGCAGCAACCGTGGTCACACATCACAACGTGGAGTGATCGTAGATTATTTCAATAGTAGTTGTATATAAATTGTTAATAAATAACTATATATTACGCGTTTTAAACCGTCCGTGAGTCCGATTCTCACTTGGTCATTTAAATAACTTAGGTCACTTCAAAAGCTAAAGGCCTACTCTCTAAATGGTTAAAAATGTGTTGACTAGCGTTAAGCGCTCGAAGTATTCGGTTCGAATCCCAGGGAAGCAATAGATTGTTGCGATCGGGCAGGGCACAAGTCTGATAAACTGTCGGTAACAGAAAAATATCAGTGAAACGGTCGCATAAATATGTTTGCCACATGCCCCAGCGGGGGGAAAAATGATTTCGCTCACTATTCAAAGGAAGCAAATGATCTCATTTTCATTATCTATGGGAATTTAATATGAGGAATGAGAGCGTCCATAAAACACTTGGCAGGCCACAAACAATAAAATTGATCACTCGATGTCTCTCAATAGTCTAGACATAACGGCGACCCCCAATAAGTTATATGTCATGCAAATTAATGTAGGCCGTGACTAATCGATTACGTAATGTTATCTACGCGCTCAATAAGGTTATTGTATTTTAATATAGTTCGACGAAACAGATGGCGTTAGCGTAACAAATTCTGACTTTGCGTTGGATAACCTCAGTCTTCAATCCCCCCGTGACCACGGCTGCTCCAAAGCATCCGAAACGTCGGTCCGTAATTGAGAGTACATTAAAGAGTTGACTAATTTATTTCCTTTTATTTAAATGTGTACTATGGGATATAGATAAAGTTGATTATAGAAAAGGCCTTCATGTAAAGTAAATTTTACTTGAATTTACCTGAATATTTATATAAAATTTTCCTAGTTTTTCTTTCTTCTTTATGTCACTGATTCTTTTTCTCATCTTTAAATTTAACAAAAAAACTGACGACGAACAGAAAACGGAAAGTAAATGATTAAAAAATACCATTGGCAATCGACAAAATATTATATTATTATTTAACTCAACAGAACGAGTAATAGTTGTATAATGTCCATATCATTCCAAAATACCATTACTAGACAGCAGAAACGACTAACTATAGACCGTCCCTACATCCAGAATTCATGTAATCCAGCCGGACTATAAATAGGAATTTCATCAATAGTTACGCAAGACCCGTGACCCAGACCGAAATATATACCCCTGTATAACTTACACATATTTATTGATTGTCCCTTAACACGAACGACATAAAGTTCAGTGGAACATTGCCAAGTTGGCAGTTGAGATATGATTTAGTTAATATTAGGGCAATGACCTCCTGTGAGATTAAGTAGCGAGTTGGGTTGACGAGTTGATGACTTTGATGTATATCTATATTGTGTTAGATCAGTCTCATTGAAGTAAAGCAAATTTATTTTCTGCTCGTAAAACGATTATTTATTTAATAATTCTCATGGGTTGCTGTAATGGTTGCAATATAACGGGTCGTGATTTCGATCCCCACCACCATGTTTCTACTCAATTTATAATGTTCTGAAATAAGACTTCGTCTGGACATCTAGATATTAAATGGTTGGTAGGAATATCGAAATTTCGTCCGGGGCACGAACCACCGTGAAACAGCTGTGAAGTTTAATCGCGTTTCGGTATCAGTCTGTGAATTTCCGAAGAATTGTTGAGATGTTATCAGGCTGGGGTATTACACGTTCCATCAAGTTCTAATCTAATGTTTGTGCGAAAGTTTGTTACCTGTGTAAATCGGTTTGTTATTGTCGTCGCCCCATAATAAAAACAACAAAGTATTAAAAATACATGTTTAATATAATATTGCATTATTTTTTAGGAAATACTGAAGAACGTATAAAACATTATAAAAAAAACCTGTAGGGATATTAAAACAATCTTATGTATTTTCCAGGGTCTAATTACACGCGTCCAAAAAGAACGTGATTCAGCACTAGCTGAAGCAGCGAGCTGTCGTGAGAGGGCTGAAGCAGCAGCAGCAGCAGCTAACCGAGCGGCCAGAGACAGGGATAGTGCAGCAACTGAATTGGATGTCCTCCGGGAGCGATGGGAGAAAGCACACCAACAGCATCAAAAGCTAACCGTAAGTAGTTTTACTATAATAAAACAAATAATTAAATATATGAGAATTGTTTTTGAGAGTTTCAAATGTTAAAGTCTAATGTGAGTTGTATATAGGTATATTATGTGACTAATTAGACTTACGAAATAAAAACAATAAAAAACTTTAGAGGAGTATACAGGAAGTACATACAATATATAATAATATTTATGCCTTATCTGTTATGTCAGCGACATTTAAACATTTGGGGAACTGCCCCTTGGCAAGACTGAAAATCCTAAAGTATGCAAATTACCTACTTTTCTTAAACATTATAAAGTTCATAAATCTTTTCAGTATCAGAATTAATTCAATACAATTCATTTCAGATGGAAAAAGACGACGCCCTCACAGAATTGGAAATATTGAAAGAGAAATTAGACAAAGCTTTGTACACCACACAAAAAACCGTAGAAGAAAAAGATTCTGCGCACAAAGAATATGAAAAAATGCTTGAGAAGTATGATAGGTACTTTATTTTATATGTTGTCTTGTGTTGTATAGTGTATGTGTAGAAGTCGAAGTAACAATCCGGTGCTCATTCTTCATTAATTGTTCCAGATCTCAGAATGAAATTTATAGACTTCAAAACAAGATAGACATTCTTGAAGCAGACAAAGATCGTGTGGAACTAGAGTTAGAGAAGCAAGTCCATTTATCCGCAAAGGCTAGAGATGATCTCAGGAAACTGCAAGATGAATCAGCGCGATTACAGGAAATGTACGATAGGGCTTCTTTACAATTAGGCAGAACCAAAGAACAAGAAGAGAAAGCCAAAGAAGACATGGATAGACTTTGTGTTGATATCGAAATGGTACGAGATAGATATGAAAAGAGTCAGATTGAGCTGCGAAGATTACAAGGGGAAAAAGAAAAACTGATTGCCGACGGTGAACGCTTGCAATTCGAATATGACAGAGCAATGACACAATGTGGCAAAGCACAAGCGTCCAATGAAAAGACACAAGAAGAAATGGCAAGAGTGCAAATTGAACTCGAAAAGATGTACGACAAACACGACAAGGTGTCAGCGGAGTTAAGGAGAGTTCAAGCTGAACTGGATAAAGTCAAAACTGATGCGTCTGGTGCACGTGAAGAAGCAGAACGGTATGCAGCACGTTATGGAAAGTATCATGACACAAAAGAAGAACATGAGAGGACAAAACTAGAAGTAGAACGACTGCGCACACGATTAGAGAAGACCACGCTTGAGCTGGAGCGAGCGCGTAAGGCTGAGGAGGAGGCTACCCGTCTACGTTCTGAGCTAGAACGCGTCGAAGGTATCCGAGGTAAATACCAATTCGAACAGGATAAATGGAGTACTGAAGTTAGTCGACTGCAAACGGAGTTAGATAAACATCGGGAACGATTTGAGTCTTCTCAAACCGAAATACAACGTTTACAGTCGGAGAAAGAGCAAGCGGAAACCAAATTCCACGAAGTCAATATACAGTTGGAACTGTCTAAGAACGAGGTCACCAAGCTATCAGCTGCGATGGAGAAACAGAGGGCAGATCTAGAACGAGCTCACATCGAGTGTGAGAAGTTTAGGGACAGATGTGAGAAGTTGAAACTGCGTTCGGATCAATTAGAAAAGGACAACGAAAGACTGAAGGGCGAATTGACACAGATAGAGAGAATGAAGTTACAGGCCGTGGCTGGAGACAAAGCCAGGACGGAGGATAGATTGGAAATCGAACGACTAAGAGACAAATTAGAAAAAGCCATCCAAGCAAGAGACGCTACGGAAATGGAAGCGGGTCGCTTGGCAAAGGAACTTGAAAAGTCACAAATGCATTTGGCCAAATACCAGGAGACGAATGAAACTACGCGCGTAGAATACGACAGAATGACAAACGAATTGGGACGAATGCACGAACGCTTGGAGAGAACAATATTAGAGATGCGTCAAATAGAACAAGAGAGAGATGCGCTCAGAGCAGAGATACAGAATACAAGACGCAACATAGAACAACAACAACGTACATTAGATCACCGCACACAAGAAACTTTAGTCAAGTTACAACAAGAACTCGCCCAATCGGTGAGAGATAGAGAAAAGATGGCCTCTATTCTAGAGCAACGCGATAAACAAGCCGATGCTATAGAGAAACAAATCGTCAAGTTGGAAGCAGATACGAAACAATTGACGATCGAACGCGATCAGCTAGTCGCACAACTAGAAAAGTCACAGGACATGCTTGTAAACTTCCAAAGAGAGTTGAACTCTTCAGAAACAGAGCTTCAGAAGCAACGAGAAGAAGTGAGACGGTTGAAGGAGGAGCAAAGGAAAATCACACAAGATTCCGAACGCGGTGCAAAATCTGTCATCGAGAATCGCGACAGAGAGATCGCAAAATTGCAACAGCAGGTTCAAACTGTTTCCAAAGAAAAGGACTCTTTCAGACAGCGCGCGGAAAGGGCTGAGCAGGAGGCGAAGAAAGTCGCCGAAATGGATAAATGGAAGGCAGCCGTCGAAGCGGAAAAGACAAAGGCTATCGCGGCGGAGAGAGCGCTGTCGGAATGCCAGCAGCGGTTAAACTCATTAGAGAAACAATTCCAGGCTCAGCAACAGCAATTGCAGCAGCTTCAAGCTCGAGGACCGTCCGACGTGCGTGAAGTTCAGAAGCAGCTTGAGGCGGCCCAAGCCGAAGCCAGATCGCTCGCTGTGGAGAGGGAACGTTGCCAGTCGCAGCTCGAGATGCTAGTTCAAGAATTGGAGAAGAGCCAGGTCAGTTGGAGGATCGCCCTACCTATAGCGGTTACCGGGAGGGCTATGCGTGGTTGAATCGAGTTTAAGCTAGAGTACAGCTTGGCAAACAAGTTATCGCTAAGGCTCGGGTCTCCTATAAATGCAGTTGGTCACGTACAGCGTGACGCATAGCGCCGTTTTTGTTGTTTTTTTTTATACGCTGGAGTCCACACTTCAGGCGTATTTCAAATTCATTACAAACATATTCGATTGTTGCTTACATACTAGATGTTGCTTTTGTGTATGAGATGAACTGATCATTAATAGAATTTAATATTAACGCAACAGAAACAATGCTCAACGCGTTACGTTGACACGACTTACGGCGTTTATAGCAGACCAGAGCCTAACGTAGCTCGCATCACAGCACCGAGTAGAAGAGTATTTACTTTTTATACTTTACACTATCAACTTCTTAACACTACTTATTACTTCCAACTTGCAAAATTTCGGTTAAGAACGACACAAACATTTTACATAATTTCTTCTGGACTTTTTTGCCATGCTATCGACTTGGATATTTATGGAACGATTTCGTTACAGAGAATATTGTCATCCACATAACACATACAAAACAAGAAAACTCGATTGAACCGCAGTCTCGCGATCACTGCACCGGTGTCATGAAGTAGATTTCGTGTTCATGCGTCTTTTTGTTGTGGGTCATCGATCATGTGCATTGTTGTTGTATAGAGCATGCCTCCCAGGCCCGCCGGGCATCCTCCAACCCCTCATTCGTTTGTTTTATTAGTTTCATCATCGCAAACTGTTCGACGTCAACTTCATGAATGTAAATGTTTTCGGCAAGTTGCACCAGACATTTCCGAATCACAAGCGCACGTCCACGACAAATGTCAAATGTTCGGTGCAAAGCTTCGTGTCGAAACGAAATACAGATATCCGGATACCGGGTTTGTCCTGTGCGCATGGCCCGGTAGCCGGATTATCCGCCTAATGTTTATTTGTCTTTCAGCCATCGCTATGCAATTGTACTGTGTTGTGATCGTGTTGAATTAAAGATGTTTTTTCGAATTATTTTATTCTATCATTATGGACGCATCGCTGCATATATTATTTGCATTAAGGGCTTTTGTAATGATGGGCTTATGAATACTTCTGATGATTTCAATTGATTTTCGCTATTTGTAAATATCTCATGTAAATACACTGCGGGCACTGATAGCATTTTGCCTCGGTCAAACTCACCTCAAATATCGATAGTATTCATTAGTTTAATAATTTACCTCATTCATGTTTTTGATTCAGGTAATTAGTTGCTATCGCGCCCAGCACTGAAGATCAGATCGGTAGGAACAAAAATTCTTATGCAATGTTTGATTAACAGCTCGATCTCCGAGAAGCGAACAAGAAACTCCAACAAGCTGGTCAGAGCGCCAAAGCTGGGGACGATACGGCTCAGGCTAGACGACAATTGCAAGAAGAATTCAAGAAGTTGGAAGACGCGAGGAAACAGTTCGAAGACAACAGGAGAGCGGTGGAGAATAGACGGAAAGACGTGGAGGAGAAGGAGAAATCGCTGACAGAGTTAGATCGACAGTTGAAGAAGAGAAAAGAACAAATGGACCAAATGGAAGCATCTTTGAGGAAGGTGAGGGAATCGTTGATGTTCAAAAACAAGTTGATACTCTACTATTTAGACATTGTGTAAAGATTTCTCGTATTTTATAACACTACTAATATTAAAAGGTATACTGTGTGCGTGTGTCCTAAAACTGTGGTCCAAATCTCTAAAGTTTTGATAGTAATTCTGCTTAACAATATCTTATCACTAGTGTGTAACCGTCTTATTGACTTAAAAAATTTACTTCTAGGCTGGTGGAAGCACAGCAGCGGTGACAGAAATGAATCGCAAGCTCACAGACACGGCTAAGGAGGCTGACGACCTGAAGAAACAGTTGAGTTCGAGCCAAGAGGAGTCGAAGCGACTGGCGGCTGAGACCGAGAGGCTTCTGCAGCTGGTGCAGATGTCGCAGGAGGAACAGGCGCAGAAAGAGAAGCAGATAATGGATTTGCAGCAGTGAGTACCACGCCTTTTCTAGTAGATCAATCTAGGATGTTAGCGTATGGACGACGGACGTATTTAGAATTGCTTAATAATAGTCCCTATTTATTATCCCCACATGTGAATGATGTTATTTACTGACATGTGGGAGATAGACTTCTGTGCCCTGCCCAACGCTAAAAAATATCGTATCATCTAGATGTGAAGCTAAGACCTATTGTATAAAGTAATGCAAGGCAGTTAACCATTGGTCAATAAGATTCTTGGTGTAAAAATAAAAACGAATTTCAGGTCTGTGAGAAATCTTCAAGCCAAACTAAAAAGTCAGCAGCAAGCACAAGCACAAAGAGAAGAGGTAAAGTACTATTCTCATGGAATATCGTACATTGAAATTATGGTATTTATAATGATTGCTTTTTTACTAAAATAGTACTAATTTTAACTAAACTAAAATTTTAAATAAGGGGGACCCAATTGACTATTTCTTAGTTAACTATTTTTACATAGTTACTAATGCATCGTTTTATGCTATCAACTATAGAACTTAACAGGATTTATAATTATAAGAAATATTAATTTCAAAATTCCAACCTCAAAGGCTATTCGCTCGTAATTGGGTCCCTGGTTTTTTTACACAGTTTAACTACCACTAATGACTAATAAGACTAACCCTTCTGCTGCATTTCAGGCCGGACCCGCTGGCTTCCTCAAAAGCTTTTTCTAAGTTAGCCCTTCTCAAGACTGTCGTTCGTTTATTTACTCGTTACGTTTAAGTTTCTTCTTTAACTGTCGTGAGTGAAGTCTATGAGCGATTCCTCCGCGCTCCTTGTCTTTCTATCTTATCATAATTAAGCTTTACAAACGCAATTTGTACTTAAGTAATGTTATCGATATTTGTATTGAATATATATTGTAATGAAGTGTTCAGATAATAATACAATCACCTCTTGTTGAATATCCTCCTCGACGCCATGTATACAAGTTTTACAATTGATTTCACGGTAACCAGCACACAAGTAAGATAATTATTAGCCTAGCCTTATCTTTAAGTGTTCAGGACTTGTTTTTTAAGTAATGATAAAAACAATTTGTAATAATGTATCTAGGTAGAACTAAGGTCCACTAGTCGATGTTACTGCGCTTTGACTATCTAATTAAATCTATGTTCGTCCCTCTCTTTCTCTAGTTATTTTTTAGTTTATGTTGTTGACACGTTTTGTTATTGAATAATAATATTTGTTTTTATTCATTTGATTATTCTTTTTCTTTCATCTGTTCACCCCTAACGTTAGGATTTAACGCGAGCGAGGCAGAGCGAGATAGCTGCGATCGGTGATCTGACGGACACGTTGAAAGAGAGAGACAGGCTTAAGAGCAAATTGGAGGAGAACAAAATGAGAATTATTGACTTGGAAATTGAGTTGAACGAGTCGTCGCTCATATTGTCAGAAATACTGAAGATATCTGATAGCCGGGAGCTAAGTAATATCAAAAAAAGTAAGAGCTTTTTTGAACTGCAGAAGAGTGATAAGGTAGTGGATAGGCTAGACAAATGCAAGTTGAGTAGAAGCTTCAACGATTTACTGAATATGGGAGACAAAACACAGGTGAACGTCCAGAAGCTAACTCGCAAAATAGCCGATCTAACGAAGGAAATCGAGATAAAGAACTCGAAGATAATAGAACAGCAGCGAAGTATATCGATTCTTGAGGACGCTCTGAGAGAGAATAATAATATAGCTGAGTTTGAACAATTACTAGCAGTTGTTAGAAGTAAAGACGAACGTATAGATGAATTGGAAGATATTTTGAACAACAAATCATGCGTTGAACGGAAAGCGTATCGGGATAAACGGATATTGGAGCTGGAGGAAGCGCTGAAGGAGTCGTTTTTGGTTGCCGCGGAGAGAGAGAAGGTTTTCTATGAAGAGGAGAAAAGGAGGATTGAGGCAATTACAAAGGTAAGAGATAATTGAATTCAAATAATATTAGCGTTGTTTTCAATTTGTGTGATAAATTGTTTTAATTAGGACGGCAATTTCTTGATTTTTAAATTGCTCTAAAAAGTCTTTCGATAAACAATATAAAGAGGTTATATTTACTATATATTACAATGATACACGATATTAGCAGTTACTTTATACTAAATATATAAGAGAATTTTTTTATTAATTTACTTCTATTTGTAGATGAATAAAATGGAACAAAGGCTGAAATCTCTGCAAAACGCGTCAGTACTGAACTGCGAAACATGTTCGTCTGTGTTAAAACGGCTAAAACTTTTAGAAGGAACTTTGCAGAGTTACAAAGAACAGCGCGAAGCAATACTGCGCCATCTATCGCAAGTCGTGTAAGTTATTTAAAGTGTGGTGGAACTAGCTCTATATAATCTATACGGATACATAATATATGAAGATGAGAAGTTAGTTTGAACGCGTCTATCTCAGAAACTACTGGTTCGAATCAAAACATCGGGTTGCAACTAATAGGAGTGAAGAGACAACAGGAAATATAAAAAAAAGGATTTATTCTCTATAAATCTAAAAAATGTCCATGACACTAACAGACGTATCTATTTTTGTCACGTTAACTTGAAAGAACGACGTGACGCGACCGACACGTCGCGTAATTTATAAAGATGAAGAGTAGTTTTAGAAAAACAAATTTTGACGTCCAAAATAATGCTCCGCGGACGAAGTCGTTGACACAGCTAGTTTCCAATAGAATCTATATTTTTTTATTATATACTTATAATTTTCACATGTTAATTCCCATAAGAAAATATACTTAACTATTGTAATAACGTATAAATACAATTAAAGTATTTCTCACTTTTCAGCCAAGATATTATAGAAAAAGGAGTTAGTGAGAAGGATACGCGAATTGCAGAACTCGAAATACAAGGGGTTTTAGACGAAAATGAAACAAGATTATGTGACGTTTTGAAGGCAGAAAGAGATAAAATGCTGACTAGGTTAAAAGTAGAGGTGAGTCGATTTTATGACATCTAAACAAGACGCTCTGCCGGCTGTTTAGGTTTTGGCTATTCGGAATATTACTTCAGATATAACATTCTATCTATCTATATCTATGGTGATATTAATTTGCATATTTCTTTGACTAAAACTTGTTTCTTTTGTTCTTTGTTATACAAAAAAAGGAAAGAAAAATTAAGAAGTTCCAACTAATTTAAGAGGGCCGACAAATAAATCGGATAACAATTTTACGGCTAATTATTACTTTAAAACTTTTAAATAAACCTTTTTAAACGGTTTAAAGGCGTAATATTAGGTAATTATTTGTTATTTATTTTAAATAAAACCCGAACTTTCATGGTTTCGAGATCACAGAGGGACTGAAGATGGATGTCAAAGTAAAATCTGCTAAACTAAAAAAGCGTTTTATTTAAATGTGTACTACTCGCGTAAGCTACAAACAATACATGCCATTTAAACTATAAACAAATCTCATATGAGTCCTTACTTACCTTATTTTTCGAATACATAGAAACATCATAGACAATCCGTAAAAATATAGAAGATTGTATTAGAATTACTAATCACTTAATTTTCGTTTCAATTTCCAGAATGAAAAGTTACTAGAATTTGAGAATGTTAGAAGCGAGTGCCTGCCAATGGAGACCTCGCTGCCGATTCTCGCTGATGAAATGATAGCTGTTCTAGAAGACAACCAATCTCTCGTTTGGGTATCGTAGATGGACACTGTTGAGAATGCGAGTGGAGTTTTTATTTCAACTAATACAAAATATTGATATCTATGCCTGGAACTATCAACGCTTACAGTCATTGTTGCCATAAGTCAGAATTCTTGCTCTTCTTGAAAATTGTCTTACAGAGACTTTAAAACTACACATTAAAATAGACAAGCGTGATTTTTAATATTAAAATATTAAATGACAGTAGATTATAAAGTTTGTGTTATAGTTTTTGTGTTTCTGAACTAATTAACAGTTGTTTGTTCTACGGTGTGCCAATATTAACCATCAACATAGCTGCTGCTGGTCTCTGGTTCCCGAAGATAAAAAGCTCCAATTCCTCCACTAGAAATCAATTATGTGAATGAGCCTTGTTTGCAGGAGGAGGACATCCCCGCCACTGTGCTGTGACGTCATAAAGCTAAGTCTATCTGTGTTGTGGCCTAACATCCATCGCACTAGTCATCTCACCCGCTACCTTACCAATCATCGCTTTTCACCAGCCTTACGCCACATAAAACCTCTTTGAGAGTCGTCTCCTCTTACACGTCTGTCTCAAACGTCTATGTCACTGTCACTTTGACAGCAGCGAATGGCTGACAGTTTGGTAAATGAATAATGTCAATGTCGATTTTCAGTTCATTGAAATTCTCACACGATGCGAAACGGAACCATTTTACGATACCAATGAAACAATATTTTTTTAAAGATCGATTGATATTCAATGAAAATTATTTATCCTATTCATATACCCTATATTTAGCACTTGTTGAAATATACATAAAGCAATAAATTAAATCTTCGCTCGACGTAGATATTATATATCGGTGTCTATTTTTTATCTAGTCAAATCTGTTTAAACTGCTATCGAATTGTTATTTAAACTTATATTAATCGTAATACCTAATGATACTCGAAGCTTAACACTATTTCTTTTAAGCACGTTATATCTAGTCTGATGTTGGTTTATGAAAATGTAACAATACGGTTGATTAAATATTGTTTGAAATTACATATCATGCACAAAGTTTGACTCTTTGGGCATACTATCATTGTGTAAAGTAGCTTGAATCGTAGAATTGATGTTAAAACAATGCTTATCTAATCAAAACAGCACTGCCTTAAGTAATAAGAAGTTTCCTTTCGATTGAGAGCCTACGTAAGCTTTAAAGACGTCCGTTCCACTCGGATGCTAGCATCAGAGTGAGGATTGCAGTATTCTAAGCACGTGTTACGGCAGCTATTTTTCAACTACCCGCAGTATTGAAATTGTGAGCTTTTATACGACCGTCTATCAGAATGCGTTGTGGGAAGTAGACAATATTATTCGGGAAAATTATTTATTATGAGGTGTGTGCGTGCAACTAGTATGTTATGTTGTAGATATATTTGTTGTTTTATAAAAGTTTTATCCGTTGTTCCGATACTTGAGTGTTTTACCGACGTTGCGATGAATTCGATATTCTGTATAAAATATGTAATATAATTAATTTTATAATAATTTGTACTTGCCACATAATGTTAAATCTTTCTGATATTTTACTGGTAAGTTAAATAAATTAAACACAGCAATTACTAATTATACTTGCTCTCTTTTATCGAAATACTTGAATCACATAAAGATCTTTCTTTATTTTACATCAGTTTCAAGAATCGCTTTCTGATTTTCGTGGCTAAAGTATTTACTAAAAAAACGCTGCAATTTGTTGTTACCGGGATAATAACAGATAAATATTTTTTAAAAGTGTTTTTTAAGTAAAATAACATAAAAGACTGTTCAATTTTGATATGCTGCAAAGGCAGCTTACTAAATGTTTAAAGTACCGAAGTAATTGTTCATTTATGGTTTTGTAAATTTATTTTATTTAATTACTTAACGCATTGCTAATCAACAGTATTATATATTAATGAAAAATGTTTTTCTTAAAGTATTAATATATTGTTGATTTTGTACACGAGATTTATTTGTTCTATAAGATCTTAAGCCTTGTTAATTAATGTAACTACCCTATACCTTAACGCTGTATCAAAGGTACTGTACGCAAATAAAATTAATCAATTAAATGCATTTAAAAGGTAATTAAAACCGAGCGCTTTTATTACCGTGATCTTGCACGGTAATAAATTCTCTTGAAATATTTCAGTGCATGTTAAATATGGTTAAATATAGTTTTTTGGTGCGTTGTATTATAATTTCAACTAAACTTTGCAGCAAAAATTTTGTATTGATAAAAGTGTAGGTGAATTGTACGATCACGATTAGTTTATAATTGTTAACGATAAAGTTCATATTGTTTCTCGAGTTATATCGACAGATATGCTAAGGATAAATGTTCTTTGAAATATAATATCTTCGTATAATATGATACTGTCTTTTATTTAAACCCTTATAAAAAATTGATATTCCCCGGAAAGCAACTTATTGAATTTGTTTTTAATTTAATTTAATTGTAGGGGGGAAAATAAATATTAAATCACATTTTAAGTGAGAGGCAATTATTGTATTACATATTATTAGTGTAGTACACCGCCATCTAGAAGCATAAAAACGAAACGCTCTAAATTCTAGCTGCTGCTACCCGCCGCTAGATGGGAGTAAAAGTGTGTAAAAAGTGCCAATGAAAATATTTTATACCAGGTACCGTATTATTATTTATATAAAGTTTAAATTTTCTAATCATTTGACACGACAAGAGTATTTGTTATTTTTTTCTTTAGTCTTTCGTCTTCTTTGAGAAAAGTATTTTTGCACAAATTAGCAACTCTTTTAAATAACTTACAAAGAAAAAAACATAGTCCATATGGAATACGCAGGCATATCAAACAAGGTTTTTATTAAAAACGAAAGTTGAAGAAAAAGCTGGCAACCCCAATAGCGTGAGTTTGTCGGGCGGAACTCTTGCGCACCTGCTTCCGGTGACGTCACGACACATTTGCGAGCGAAGACTGTCAAAATTGTTAATTTTTAGACCTAATTTATGAATTTTATAGTTAAATACAATGATATGCCACCATGTGAACTTGAAATTATAGTTAAACAGATAGGTGTGTACCACAAGTGAAAATAATTTGATACCAAACGTCTTAGCTTCCTATCTTACAGTTATACCTACCGTGTAAGACATTTATGTATTTCAAATATTAAAACCCCAAGAAGAATGTCGAAAACGATAAAACAGCACTGGAATCTTAATGTATAACTTTAATGTATCGAATTAATTCGGGTTCAAAAATTGGTGGCTAACACGGGCTGGTCGAATGCATCCCGAACTATTTTTGTTTTTGTCTGCGGTTGCCAGTTATCCTAATTGGTGTAATGGTTCCACGCAGACGTAGCCTGGAGGCACTTTGGACTTTGCAGGAGCCGAGGTGTATTCAAAGTAAGGTTATGTTATTTGACACAAATCACAAGTGTTTTCTATTTAAACACAAAATGGTAAAAACTATGCTACAAATTCCTTTAAAAGCGTTTTACTTATATGATAACTTTTTAGTATCTTACTTAACTAGTGTTTTTATTTATCAGCTACTGAAAGACCAGCTTTTTGCAGTAATAGGATGAAGATTCTATGACTGAATTCTTGAGACCCCCTAATGGATAGGTTTAAATAAAATTATATCTTGTCCGTTTGGAAACGTCAGGCGGCAGTTACAATAAATTTAAATTTACCTACCTAATATATTTCGCGTTTTAAACCGTTAAAAGAGTTTTATTTACGCTCTTAACTACAGACAATACTATAATTTTAATCTAATAACATTGGCATCCATATTTAGTTTAGCCATAAATACTATGCGTAAATCAATGTTTTAACACTTTGTGGTAAACAGGAGAGGTTCTAGAGTCGATCTCGGTGTACTAAAGGACCCACAAATATGTCTGTTTAGCTAATGCACACCGCTTAACGAGAATGCCATAACTGAGTAAGGATAAAAATGATTATAGTAATTTAATTTTCTTAGATTTACAATGTAGAACTTAAAAGGGATTTTGTAATAGTGGGTTGGATTATATCTCACCAGACACGCTTTGCCGAGTTAACACTCTGTTTAAAGTTTTTTAAAGCAAGTCTAAACATGAACGTTTAGAGATATAACGCGTAATGTTTTGACAACTGTGTTTGTAAAATATCAACTGTGGTTATTTCGTCAAAAAATTTACTATGTTAGTAAATAAATAAATTAATAAAGCTATCTTAGAACGGAACATACCTATAACTTAGCAATGTTGTCGTAAATGCGCTTAACAACTTAAAAAGAAATTTATCAGTAAAATCAACACAAAAATACTGGACTTTATCTCGCAATCACGAGAACTCAATATGAAAACATACTTTTCATACATTATTTATTCAAAAATTAAATTAACTACGACCACACGTTTCAGTTGCTTTGCAGCAGCCGTGGTCGCGGGGGAATCTAAATTGTAAATAAACTAAATTTAAAATTATGTTTCATGTAAAATTGATTTTTTACTTATTTAACGCCATCATGTGCAAAAATTTGTTAACAAGGTAACTAATACATTTCGCGTTTTAAACCATCAAAAGTGGTTTAATAAAATAAGTACTGCTCACGTAAAATACAGACAATAAAATGGAAATTATTTTAAACATATTCTACCCCACACATTGAGAAAAAATTATTTACTTTTTTATATGATGTGGATACTAGGATACCTAGCGCAAGTACCAGGAGTGCATATCAATAGTGGATCTAGAGGGAAAAGATAAAAGAATTTTGTAAACAGTGAATTGCGTAACATATTTACACACAGCCAAACACGCTGTCATTGAATAGTATTATGTACGGTTTTATCTGTAAATAGTATATAAACATATTTTAATTATATGTACTGTAGGCGTGTGTGCGATAATGCACTTAAGGCCCCTCCATACGACGTCTGATTTTTAACACAACTTACGCCATTAGGATTGTAAAGAATGAAATACTGGATCGTAGGTTCGAGTCCCGGTGTAAAGAAAGCGAACGTCCCCTAAATAAACTCAAAGGGCAGGTTCTTTTCATCCAAATATATCCATTTGAAGTAGACAGAATCCAAATATATCCATCAGAAGAAGACACCTTCAGGTGATGTGTATTCGGGTTGTATTAGAGGGGTACAAAATTGTATCAATTATATTTCTAGCTCCACCTATGAAAGAAGTTAAATAAGTATAGTAAGTAAGGAGATGGTTAAAGAGTTTTAATAGGAGTCGCCAACTATCCCAGCGTATTGAATGATGGGTTGTTGACCTATGTGTGCATAAATTCAACAGCCACGTTAAAACAATACAATCTAGACTACTTTTATATATCTGCAAATGGTATCTAAAACTAATCATAATTGATAAATAGACCACAAGACACGATAACTTTTTTAATGATATTCTCGTAGATAGAAATTGTTT